AAAGGTCTATCACGTTTATATTATCATTCATTTCCTCACCAAAGTCGTCTCTTCGGCCAAGGGAGAGAAAATTGATCTGAAGGGAAAATCTGGAGGTTCTCAAAGCATCTGATTGTATATATATGTTTTGTGAGTTATAAAATTTATCTTGCAAAACCTGCTACTACTGAAGAAGGAATCATGAATACAATCAGCAATGGTGAATTTGTTTTAAGATTGAAATTATTAGAGATAACACTAAAGGGAAGCCGAGCGATCGGTCACCTGAATTAGTATCTGTTAATCTGCAAGAGCAAGTAAAAAATTGGTTCATAGATTATCAGGATCCAGAAAAAGAAGAAGCATACGAAGGCTCAAAGTAACGAGCTTTGGGAATGCCCAATTGGTCGTACAAAAAGAAAATCCTTTTATCCCTTATCTGTTTTGTGGCATAGTAATATACGTAATACGCAGAAAGGAGTGGCACAGTAATTAACTAATCATGTGAAACCGTAACAATCATATGATCAGAGCAGCAATCAGGTGATTGTCAAATATTGGTTTTCCATTGCAGTCTGTGTTTAATTTCTTTTTCATTTCTATTTTCTACGACGGAATGTTTAGTAATTACGCTCGCATCATGATACTTGTAAAATATTGATAAAATTTTTAATATTTTTAATTTAAATCCTGTGGAAAAAGTTTTTAATTTGAATAAATTAAAGATTGTTAATTACATAATAACATTATAAGGATTTATTAAATTGAACAATAATTCAATCTCTTTTAAATTTGATAAATTTAACTCCTTCATAAAAGTTTAATTTATTACTATTATTTGAAATTTTTTGTATATTTTTTTTATTACCAAATAATTACTGGTGATTACCAATATTACAATTACCAAGGATGACTTGTGATTAAAGGAGATTTCTACAATCACAAAGTAGAAGGCTACACAATTTCTTATTGAAGTATGAAAGAAGGCATATTGCAATATAGTAAAAAGGAGTGGACAAGAACTCATGAAAAAATAAGCTTTTTATTATGATGAATTTAATATTAAAATAGAAGTTTTAATAATTGAAAGAATATGACTTCAGTTATGCTTACTGCATCTGTATCTTACATGTATGCAAAAATATAAGTTATTAACTCTTAGCTGTCATACTGTACATATAATATACAGATTATTATAATGTTATTAATCTAATAAAGAAGCTTATTATTATTCACTTAAAATCAGTCATAGACTAAATCATATGTGCAGCAATGATTGGTTATTTAATATATAAAATATTTATGGTTTTTAATAATAGAAATAATGCGTCAGATTGACAAGTAAAAAAACTGAAACATGACCTTTTATGTATTGATGCATCAAATCTGAGTCATTATTGCATTTGAAAACACGTTTTTTTATTTAAAAGCCTCTCATATTCTCTAAAAATCAATTTCTGAATTTGAAATCAATTTTCTGAAAACTTCTCCATAAATTTAATCCAATTTGAAATCTCTCATTAAATATTGAACTCCTAAATTTAATTAATTCTAATTAAATTTTATTTCAATCACTAAATTCTTCTTAAAATCAATTTAACATGAATGCATATCCTGGCCAAGACAGTAAGTATGTGAATAATATTTCAACTTATAATAATTTTTTTCTTATTTAGTTTTTTACTAACTAAATCTTAACTTTTAATGCTCATTTTTTATTTAAAAAATATAGCAATAAATCATATCACAGATTTTATATCACACCTTAATGTCATTGTTGCTTCAATAACTTCAAATCTCAAGTTGGAATAATCTTGGCTGTTAATTACTATATAAAAGAAGCAGAAAAGATTTTTGTGGATCAACAAGTTATTGAATCATTAAAAGAAAAGGTGTGTATTTTTTTTGTTTTGCAAGGATAGGGTAACTCTTAAGACGAGCCATACGGGAGATTGACCAGTTGATATCAAGTTTGAACATATACCATTATGTGGCCACATGTGATGATGATTCAGTTTAGCTGGATTTGAACATACAGTGGAGAGTGAGTTATATGTAAAGATGACAAGATTGCTGAGTTTATCAAACAATAAGCCTTGGCTTCTGAGAATTACTGTTTGGAGACGCTTGGTAACCACTCCATAGCTCGATATTCAGGCATCCTGTCTTTGTTATTGGTAAAATCCTGTTAATTTTGGAGGAGAAATTGACTATGTACCTTCTTTTACTACTAAATAAAAAGTTTACACACTGCTAACAATTTATTTTCATAAATAGATAATATTGAACTAAACAAATGTTATTAGGTGAAGATACTTTCCATTATAATTTACTTGAGTTAAGCAAGATGATGATAAAAGATTTGCTTGGAATTGTTTTATACTTTTATTGAATGGAAATTATTATTTAAACTGCTCTTGGTTTGAGAAGTATGAACAGTAGTGATTGTGCAATTAAATAAAATATATAAGATTAATTAATATTATATTTTTAGTACATTAACTAGTACTACTAGTTACTTATTTTTATTTTTATTTTTCTTTCTTTTGCTTTTAATTTATATCTAACTTCAAAATGATTATTATTTTATAAACATTGTAATTTTATTGGATAAACCTTAAATTAGTAAAGTATTTAGAATAAATGTATTTGTAACAGCCTGTTACATATCTTATTTGTTACATCCTTTTTTTATTCTTTTTTTTTAATAATAAATTTAGTATGTGTTTTATAAATAAAATTTTTATATGCAAAATTTAATTTGAAGTTATTAGCAGTTTCTTGAAATTTTAAAAAAATTCTTTTGTCTTAGTTACACAACTGATCTTTTATTTTTGTTTACATTTCACCTGATCTTAAATTTTAATTGGATAAATTGGGGTTGTTACAAATAAGATGCATAACAGGCTGTTACAATTAGATTTATCCAAATATTTATATTATCAGTACAACTTTTATTCATGATTCATTTTTATTTCATTAACTTAAAATAGCTAAGAGTTTTGATAGGTAGGCTGGAGTGAAGTAGATTTTCCTAAGCCTTAAAACTTTAACCATCTTAGATAATTAATTAATTCAAACCCAAGCTCAATTCATAAACTAGCTGGGCATATATGAGATATGTCAATATTGATTAGTTCAGTAGAAGCTTAGCCTACAATACTAGCACTAAGTAAAAGAATAGAAAATAAGTATAATACTTATAATCAAAGGTGATAGTTGATGCATTTAATATTAGAGTTTAAAAATGAAATTATAAGCAATTTTTATTAAAATTACACATGTTACTGCAATAACATAAATTTTATTATAAAACCTTCAATATCTATAATGCAAAACAGTATGATTAAGCCATAAATAAACCAACACTTTTTTTTATCAATTTTTACCAATTTTTAATTAATTAATATTAGTAACGGCAAAAATTTGGTAGATCTACAATTAGTTAATTTATTACCGAATTTAGACTATTAATATTGATTATGTCAGCTACCATGGATCAACTTGTCTAACTTACCTATAAATTATGATCAGATAAGGACCCGAAATATATATGTAGAGGTCAGGTCCAGAAGTGGTCCAAAATACGCATTCTTTCAGGGCCGGAATTACGATAATTTCAGCCATTATCTAAATTAAGAAATATTATTTTGGCTGGGATTATCCATAAAAGGAATGATCTACATGATTTTTTTGACTCATTATACGCAAACTCTGACCTGACCCTTTTATGTATATTTCGGGGTCCTATCAGATAAATATAAAATAAAATCTATATAAATTATATAATAAAATCAATGAAGTCTTTTATTTATTACTAATATTCACCATCATTAAACATTTTTCCTATCTTTTATGATCTATAATATCATGTGATGATTATGTGCCAGTTCGGAATTGATCAATATTTAACATATTAAACATATTAAACATTTGTAGTTTTATTATAAATACAGGTCAATTTTTTGTAGTAATATTTTTTTCAGATAACAACAGAAATAAAGTTTTATTAAAAGTTAATAAAAGGTTATCTCAATTATTGTTTAAGTGTGCAGTTTTTTGTGTGAAATCCTTTATTCGTGGTTGAACATATATGCCGACGTAAAGTGCTATACTACACGTCTGATTGGATATTTTTCGATATGCGATTAATTATATAAACCTTCTGCTTACATAATTAAATAATTGCTTAATATTTTTAAGTGTAGAAGAACTGACCTAACAATACTACAATTTATGTTAGAGGATGGAGANTCGGGCATAAGACGAGGTTTTATTGTTCTCATTACACCTATACTCAAAGGGTTGGTTATGTCTTATTTTCCAAGAGCCGACGATTTTGCTCCTGCACCCGGATATGACCATACACCTGCTGGTCTTGACGACTTCATTTTCAACCATGATACTTCACGAACAGTACCTCTTACTGAAGACAGTTTATTGGATACACCTTCATTTCATAACGATTTTGATGATATTAGGCCCTTTTCTTCGCCTAATAAAAATTATATTTTTTCTACAAAATATGAAAAGTTTCACGTGACTCCACATCACAGAGCAGGTTATAACAAGATGTACAATTTTAGGCGCTCAAAAAGTTTCTTTTTTGAGCTGGTTGATCAATTACCAAACACCAATCAACTTCAATTGAATATTTACACAAATGATTATCATATGTCCTCTATCCCGATTAATCACAACTCCATGAGCCAACTCCCAAATTTCAAATTTCAAATATCGAAACAGCTCACGCACTTTTTTTCAACACAAAAAGTTATCCCTCGAAGATTGCAAGAAAAATTTTTTACATATATTCGTAAAAAACTATTGGAGCGTTTGGATTTTATAACATCACGTGCCCAAAAAAGGACAAAAATAATCACATGACTAAAACTTTTTTTAATTTTTCGTATAAAAAATATAGATTTTATTTCGGAATTTACCTTCCATGTAATCATACTCATATAGTGGGTCCGTTGACTAATACTGTTGCGACCTGTTCCATTCCGGTTCCTTTCACAATGTCAAATAATCGTCACGCCTGTATTATTCACCACAAGAATCTAGTCCTATATTTCCTCTCGAAGGATAACAAAATTCCTGACGTTAGTAATTGCAAAACATTCAAAGACTTTCATGCAACTCGCCTCTACAACAGATGGGCTAAGAAGAAGAAATATCAGAATTTTTCGAACCGATTAGGAATTTCTTTCACCACATCATACCATGCGTATAACACTAACGTCGTCGCTACAAAAGGACTTGATTTTATTTACTGTAAAAAATATGGGAATCTTCAATTTATTCCCAGTTCATCTCCAAAAGTCAAGAAAAGACAAGAAGCACGCTTTAATGCTTTGGTTAGGCATACCTTTCACAACGCCAAGCTGGATGATAATGCGCAGACAAATGATAAACTCCGAGCTGCACGACATCACAAATTATTATTTCAAGAAAATCAACGATTCACCGCTCCTATCAGACATCTTCGATACAAGAAAAAATTTATCGAACCATCACAGGGTTATTACACCTTTCCGATTCCATTTCCTGAATCTAAGACCGTATCTGTACCTGTTATAGCGGAGACAATTTGTAATATTAGCTCTGTCGCATCTACATCGAATGATAATCCTATACCCCCAGCTAATACTGACAATTGGGAGAACGTACCTGAACATTATATTCCGTTAATTCCTTGATCTGCAATTTACGAAGGTGGTCTATTGAATCAACCTTCTCATATGAAAGTCTGGAAAAAGAAATTACAACCACTTGCAGTTGGCAGTGATGGCTGGCTAGCTCACATGAAAGAAATCTATGATCATCATGAAATGATGACCGAATATGAACAAGGAAGAATTATTGCTGGAATACAATGGGATACCACTCCTGATCAAGGTGAATACCGGAGGGATCTTTGCAATCTTGTAATGGAAGTTACCAACGCTCAGTACAACTATGAAATGAAATTACTTGAAATCTCATCTGAAGTAATACCCGAAATACCAATCGTATCTGGAGCACTTAAACAAAGTGAACGCAAAAAACGCGAAAAGCGTCGATTACAAAAATTACAAGAAATTGAACGGAAAAAACACGAAGATACTGAAATCTTAGAAGAGTTACGCTCTTGGGTCTACCGTTATGAAACTATTTTTGACGTCAACTATTATAGACGTGAAATTGGTTTGGCATTTCAGCCTTGTGCCATTATGGACGACAGACCGCTTAAACGACGTGCCAGTGATAATGGCAATTTAGATACTCATTATGGTTATCACAAAGATAAAAAGGTTTGTATATTATCCGCCTTGAAGGATTTAGGAAATAGTTCGTCTGCTCGTACTATCTAAGTACTCATTAGTCAAATTTTTATAGATCGATTTATGAATACATTAGTTTCTATTTGTACATGCTTATTAGCATTTTAGTTCATTTTTTACGTTAGATTTTTAACAACTTAAAATAGTGTAAACCACTCCACCTCTTACAGTATTTACAGGTGGCAGCCCTATGGGCTGAAAGAAAAATACGGATAGGTGCTTGTCATTTAATTGTTTTTTTCTCTTATACCTGCTCCTTCATCGGTCGTGTTGTTGGAGTAGTCTATGGTATATAAAAATTAGTTAGGGTCTGCCACTTGGGTAGATGATAAACTAAGTGTTGGGCGCAATTCTTGTAATTAATGCTCTCTTAGAATAGTCCTTCTGACTTCACATAAAATAAATAAATAATTAAACATTTGTAGTTTTATTATAAATACAGGTCAATTTTTTGTAGTAATATTTTTTTCAGATAACAACAGAAATAAAGTTTTATTAAAAGTTAATAAAAGGTTATCTCAATTATTGTTTAAGTGTGCAGTTTTTTGTGTGAAATCCTTTATTCGTGGTTGAACATATATGCCGACGTAAAGTGCTATACTACACGTCTGATTGGATATTTTTCGATATGCGATTAATTATATAAACCTTCTGCTTACATAATTAAATAATTGCTTAATATTTTTAAGTGTAGAAGAACTGACCTAACAATACTACAATTTATGTTAGAGGATGGAGACTACCAAAGAAAAAAAATTACAATAAAAATGATCAATAAAATAAATAATAGCAAAAAAAGTCCTTTTTTATTAGCATTAATTATCATTAATAATTAATAAACAGAATTCAACCAAATGTATAATAATAATAAATAAGAAAAAAATCACTAAAACAACAACAAATGATGATAAAAAAAAACCTGAAAATGTAAAAAAAATATTGAAAATAAAAAAAAGTATTGAAAAATTTATTTTTCAGTTTGAACTAAAAAAAAAATAAAAAAATAAATAATTAAATAATTAAAAAAAAATTATTTTTAAGTATAAACAATTAAAAAAATTTCCAGTTTGAAAAGCCTAAAAAAATAAAAAAAAATATCAAAATTTCAGTCTATAAGATCCGGTAAAAAAGGTATTTAAAAAAAATTGGCCCTAAAAAAAGACAGAATATAAAAAAAAATTTAGTCCAAAAAAATAATAATATAAAAATAATTTGGTCTAAAAAAACCATTTGTTCAGATAGCTGCGGCTATACTTGCCACAGGAATATATCCTATCCCATTTGTCATAATCCCATTCCAATTCAATTCCAATTCCATATCCCATCTCCCATTGGTCGAATTTATCACATGAATTACGTGATGCTAATGCAAAATTCCAAAAGGTTCCACACACATTTTAAAAAAGGAAATTTATGCACCGATCACACAATTCCGGCCAAAATTACGTATTACAGGAGTTTAATAATTTTACCAATTTTAAGAATTTACTGATTACTTTTTCAATAAAATTTATATCATTGGATTAATCCAATGGTAGTAAAATCATATTTAGTTTCATCATTAATATTGATTGAGTTATTATGAAAAATGTATTTTTATTATATGTTACCCTTATTTTATTAAAACTTAAATAAATGATGAACTGAGTTAAAGTGGCCTTACAGGTTTTCCATAGGTTTGTATAAATTTTACATATTAATTTTAACTAGAATTGTATATTACAGGAGTGGGTTTAAAAAATACTTTATTTAAAACCAATATTTTATATCATTAAATTAATTTTAGTAAGAGGAATCTATTGGTAGTAAAATTAATATTAATTAAATTATATTATAAAATATACAGTATTTCTTACATTATTTTTTACTTAGTAATTTTAAGAAATAATAATTTGTTTGTCCATTTTATAAAAATAAATTTTTTTTTCATTATAATATATTATTTTCCATTATGTATATAAAATTATTTTTTCATTATAAAAATTTCTCTTCATTATAAAAATTTTTAAAATATTTTCCATTATAAGTTGATGTAACAATAAAAAATTAGTTCTTATAAGTCTTGTAAAAGTTTATAAAAAAAACTTACTGTATACTTCCGATATTAAGCACCCCCGAAAATCAGCACCCTGGCCAGAATTATGAAAATTTTGGCCTATGTTATGCTGTTGCTGGCCAGCATTACGGTCAAAAAAGGGTGCTTAATTTCGGAAGTATACGGTATATGCTAATACTGATAATTCATTATAAAAATATATTTTTGTATAAACATTTTAACAATAAAATAATTTAAAATTTTACAATTAATGACAGATATTTATATTAATTAGAATTCTCATTTTTAGATGATAATTTATAGATGATTTTATATTCTGATTAATGAAAGAACTAAACATTTAACAGAAAATGGCTTGATATTTAATAAAAAAGGGCTTGGGTTTGGTAGAAAGTGGCTTGGTATTAACTTTTAATAAAGTGGCTTAATGTTTAAGAATTAAGAGCAGTGAGATATATTAACTAGTAATAATAGTATCATAAGGAGCTTTATTACCCACCCCAAGAAAGATCTTACTTTTAACCAATAATATTCAATTACACATATAATACTAATTTTAACCAATAAAAATGTTTAATTTTGTGTCATGTAAGATTTTGCTTAACCCTAAAATATTAGCTAATACATGAAACAAAAGGCTTTGTATTCAAAAAACATGCTTAGTATAATGGCTTGACATTCACCAAAAAGGACTTTGTTTTCTAATTTTGAATTTCAATTTTAAATTTATATTAATATATACTACAATATAAGATGAATATATTTAACCCAATCAATGATCAATAAATTAACAGATTATGTGATATTAAATGATATAAATGCTCAATAGTATAATACTTATAAATAATTAAATATATAAAAAATTATGAAACATATTAAAAACAAATCTTTTTAAAGAAAATATTAAAATATTATAAATATTATATTTGGAAAATTTTATATTAAAAAAAAATCATGGGGATTTATTTAGGTGGCAAGTATAGCTGTGGCTGCCAATCATCATTAATAATATAGACTAAGCTTATTTTCGTTAATTAACAAAAAAAGTTTCCTATTAAATTTCATTACCCATAAATATGGAATAAATCAGGTGAGGTGCAGACAATCAACAATTCAAATTATTATTTTGATCCCCTGTCGCACTAAGTGTCACTCATGATCATCTCATACTAATTTTTAAAAATTGCGAGTGATTAGCTGAGTTTATAAATGACTGGGAATCTTCGTTTAGTTATTTCCCGGTCTTCATATAGATAGCCGGGAAATTACTAATTTTAGTTTAAAATAGTTAAAATAGTTATTATTTAATAAGTGACATGCTCCAGGGGATTACCCATTTATTTCCAACTCCCCATGAAATAAATAATACAAATGTGACAATTTGTTTAGTATATTATAGATGATCAACCAGTCACTTAGTTAATTATTTGTTATAAAAAAAATTATTTTTAAGACTTTAGAATACATTGTATTGATTAATAAAATAATAGTCAACTGTTCAACATTTAATATATATAAATATACATTGGTTAGTTCATTTAATGTTTGGTATTTCTAGTATTTTTTTTTTCATTTTTTTAGAAGGTCTAAGCTAATAGTGTTTTTATCATTAATTTTATTTTGATAATAATAAGTTAACTTAAATTATCATATTACAAGTCTACCTTAAAAAATGTGTGCAACCCTGTGGTGTTGGACAATTATTTTCATGTTTATATTTTTTATAAATTACCCATTTTGTTAAATTAGATGTACAATTTTACTGTTTTGTATCATTAGGAAATAATTACATGAAATAATTATACAATCTTATAAACTAGTATGTTACAAAAAAGCTATTTGATACAACTTATGCAAATATGTATTTATTAATTTTTGATCAAAAGATTTTTACTACTGTAAGAGATAACTTGATATAGGATTTTATGCTTTACTACAATAATAATCCAGAATTAAACTATAAATAAGTCTTTTTATAACTAAGAATATTTTAATTATACCATTTTTAAACTAAATTTGTAATTTTGAATTTCTTAATATACTTAATTTAATATTTTATCATTTTCATGTTATCTTCATATTGATTATTAATAGCAATATTAGTAATAATCATTAAAGAAATTTTTTTTTTTTTTGCAATTTTGATTTTACATAAATAAAATAGATAAAGTAAAATTAATTTGAAAATATTATGTTAATGCCACACATCTTTTTCACTTAAATGTTCATTTCTACATCAAACTTTGATACTTGCAAAATAATGACAACTTTTAAAATTATTTTAATGTTTTCAATTTAAATCCAGTAGAAATATTCTTTAATTTTGAATAAAACTAAATTATCATTATGATTTCATGTAAATTGAATAATAATTCAATATCATGTACTACAATTCTTTATAAAGGTTTAATTTGATTATTATAATCTTATATCATTAATATATTATTTTATTAAAATGAATATACGCTTTAAAGTTTATTTATTTTGTATACAAAAAAGAATAATTATTTTTTTGTGTTAATGTACAAATAATTACTGGTAATTACTAACGATTACCAAGTGACTAAAAAAGAAGATTAAAATGTATCTTTGTGTTACTATAAATGTGTCACGTGCTGATCACGTATTTATCTAATAAACTATTAATGTCCTGCGTGAAAAGTATGACGAATTACGCACGCAACTTCATCCGCAATTAGATCAAGCAGTTTTATGAGAAATAATCAGTCACTCCGCAAAATGACATTTTTACCAATGATTTAAAGTTACGTAATAAAAAAATATATGCTAGAACTTTCAAGAAAAACATGATTACGCAAGCAACCCAAATTAACAATATTGACTTTTAATAGTAGTTGTACTAATTAATACAGTAATACATCTTTAAAAGGTATGAAACATAACTAATAATAAAATTAATTAAATTAATTAAATTATATTCTAAAGATATAATAATCCCATCTTTAAAGATATTAATTACTATCTTTAAAGATATTAAACAATTAATTAAATTGTATTTAAAGTAACCAAGGAAATATAAAAGATGATGAAGAAAGTTTACGCCGCCTAATATTATAATTAAAATATATTTTAATCATTAATTCTTACTGTATCTGTGACTTACATGAGCACTACAATATAAATTAACTGTCATAATTACAACATACAAATTATTATAGTATTGTTAATCTAAATAATAAAANAAAATGACATTTTTACTAATGATTTAAAGTTGCGTAATAAAAAAATATATGCTAGAACTTTCAGGAAAAACATGATTACGCAAGCAACGCAAATTAACAATATTGACTTTTAATAGTTGTACTAATTAATACAGTAATACATCTTTAAAAGGTATGAAACATAATTAATAATATAATTAATTAAATTAATTAAATTATATTCTAAGATATAGTAATCCATCTTTAAAGATATTAAACATAATTAATTAAATTGTATTCTAAAGAAACCAAGGAATATAAAAGGTGATGAAGAAAGTTTATGTTCGCCACCTAATATTATAATTAAAATATATTTTAATCATTAATTCTTACTGTATCTGTGTCTTACATGAACACAATAATATAAATTAACTGTCATAATTACAACATACAAATATATTATAATCATTATTCTTACTGTATTACATGAGCACAACAATATAAATTAACTGTCATAATTACAACATACAAATTATTATAGTATTATTAATCTAAATGATAAAATATTAAGTTAAAGTTATATATTTTAATCATTAGTTCTTTAATTCTTACTGTATATGTGTCTTACATAAGCACAACAATATAGATTAACTGGCATAATTACGATATATAAATTATTATAGTATTACTAATCTAAATAATAAAATATAAAGTTTAAGTTATATCATTATGACTTAAAATTAGACATGTGGATAGATTAAAGAGAAACCTCATTATTTTTAATTATTCCTTCTATTCTTCATGTCAATAATAGCCCAGTAAAAAGTTCTTGTACCAAATATAGGCCAATTATGAAATGAGCCCATTCGGTATAAAATTTGGCCATATTTATTTTAATTTTATCCCATTTATGGTCCAATTTTTCGTACCAAACGGGCTCATGTATAAATTCAATACAAACCTAATATGAATTCAGTACAGGACTTTTTACTGGGATAGAAATAATGTGTCAGATTGACAAGTAAATTTGCATTGATGTATCAATCTGAATCAAGAACTTTTCTTTTATTTAAAAGCCCTCTAAAATTTTTCTGAAACTCACAAAATAAATAATTTCTGAAACAAATCATTTCTGAAACTCTCAAATTAAAATACTCACTTTTTTAAATATATTGAAATTAATCAACATGAATTCATATCCTGGCCAAGATAGTATGTTTAATAATAAACAATATTTCATTTTATAGTAATTTTTTTTCTTATTTAGCATTTTTACTAACTAAATCTTTGACTTTTTAGCTCTCATCTCTTATTTAAAAAAGCAAAGCAATAAATCATATCGTGGGTTCTTAATTCTACACAAGAATGTTGTTGTTGCTTCAGTAACTTCGGATCTCAAGTGGTATGATCTTGAAAATACCTGGGCTAGTAATTACATAAGAGAAGTAGAAAAAATTTTTACAGATCAACAAGAAGTTATTGAAACATTAAAACAAAAGGTGTGTATTTTTTCTATTTTGCAAAGATGGGGTAACTCTTAAGACGAGCCACATGCATGATGGCCAGGATTGTGTTTTGAACATATGCTATTGAGCTATATGTAAAGATGGCAAGGTCACTGAGATTATTGTGATCATGTGCTTCGGCTTCTGAGAATTACTGTTTGGAGACGCTTGGTAACCACTCCATAGCTCGATATTCAGGCATCCTGTCTTTGTCGTTGGTAAAAGTCTGTTAATTTTGGAGGAGAAATTGACTATGTACCTTCTTTTACTACTAAATAAAAAGTTTACACACTGCTAATAATTTATTTTCATAAATAGATAATATTGAACTAAACAAATGTTATTAGGTGAAGATACTTTCCATTATAATTTACTTGAG